TTCGTAAAAACAAAACAACGCAGACTTTCCCCTGCATAACCAGTGACTCGATCGGCTGGAGGAAATATTTGCTTCCAAGTCGGGTAAATGCCTATATTTACATTTATCCCACCTTGCGCACCGCAAACTCAATCGCAGATATCCTGGTATGTAATTATGCCTGAGCACTTCTAGAATAAAAAATTAGGCAGTTGTTCTATATCCTTTCTGGTTCATCCAGGAAGAAGTCCTAGCATGAGTAATTATGCCTGGGCGCTTCTAGGATATATAACACGTTTAGCATTCCGACACGTATAAAAAAAAAATAGGCAGTTGTTCTATATCCTTTCTGGTTCATCCAGGCAGAAGTCCTGGCATGATGTTATTATGCCTGAGCGCTTCTAGGATATATAACACGTTCAGTATTTCGACCCGTAGCCGAGAAAAAAATAGGCAGTTGTTCTATATCCTTTCTGGTTCATCCAGGCAGAAGTCCTGGCATGATGTTATTACGGCTGAGCGCTTCCAGGATGTATAACATGTTTAGCATTTTGACACGTAGAAAAAAAATTAGGCAGTTGTTCTATATCCTTTCTGGTTCATCCAGGCAGAAGACCTGGCATGATGTTATTATGCCTAAGCGCTTCTAGGATATATAACACGTTCAGTATTTCGGCTCGTAGCGGAGAAAAAATAGGCAGTTGTTCTATATCCTTTCTGTTTCATCCAGGTTGAAGTCCTGGCATGATGTTATTATGCCTGAGCACTTGTAGGATATATAACACGTTCAGTATTTTGACCCGTAGCCGAGAAAAAAATGGGTAATTGTTCTATATCCTTTCTGGTTCATCCAGGCAGAAGTCCTGGCGTGATGTTATTATGGCTGAGCACTTCTAGGATATATAACACGTTCAATATAATTTTCGACCCGAAGCCGAGAAAAAATTAGGAAGTTGTTCTATATCCTTTCTGCTTTCTCTGGTTCATCCAGGTTGAAGTCCTTTCATATAATATTATGCCAGAGCGCTTCCAGGATATATAACACGTTTTAGCATTTCCATCCGTAGAGAGAAAGATATCCTATCTCTTCGTTGCACTAAATCGATGTAAGTGTACTACACAGCATCGGGGAGGGGGAGCACTAACGAAATCGAGTAATATTGAACTATAGATATTTAATCGTTTTTTTCTGTGTATTTGCAACGAGATCGACCGCAGACTTTAATATGTTTCTTTTTAGACGGCACTGAATTATTTTTCCGAAACCAAAGCCGTACATTTTGTTAGATACCGCGCTTTTAATTAATTATATTTCTAGCCCTAAGATGATGACATGATTGCGTGAAAATTGACGCCTCTATCTTATTAAACGCGAAATACGATCAGAGATTAATGGAACAGGGAATGTTGCAGGCTACTGGGTATCCGGCTGAGATAGCTGACTTTTACTCAGCTATCTCAGCTGGATACGGAGGGTTTTTTTGGTTGCTAAGATAGTCCGGCTCGTTATGTCTACACATCCAAGAAATTGTGGTTTTGACAACATTGTCCGTCCGTACGTCCATCCGTTCGTGTAGGCAGATGTACCGGATAGGTCGTCGCATTAACTTGCTTGGAGTCCAGTCGCAAGTCAAAGGCATGCAATCTAAGTTTAACTTGAAATTGACTTATTATGGTCTATTGACAGCCACGTGGTTTCCGCTGATAAGTATCACATGACTGTATCGACCCCACTCTGTTCTTCTGGGAACAAACTGAAACTCTCTAGAAATTAACTTTCTCCAATTCCTGCCTCAATATTAAGGACAACTCCGTAATGCGGACCCCAAGCTTTGTCTCTTTGGTGTCCGATTTAGGAATTGTAACAGTATTATTTTACCACGGCTATGGGTAAAAGAGCAGTACCACGGTAAACATAAGTACGGTAAAAGACTACCTCTTACACCGCCGAGAAACAGTAGGGCTACCGGGTAGAACAAAGATGCCATTACCACATGGTCGCCTTTCATGCACGTGGGCAACATGTTCGCCTACCAGGCCCGTAGGTTTATCTTAAGTTTCCCAATACTACGCGCGAACGTGACGTCAATACATACTCTCGACCCACTGACACCAATTTCATTCAAGTCCCTCCGTGATGAGGACACTTAGATCTATCTCTTTGGTTCTAGCATGTATTTACTACGAGTACGGATAAATGAACCATACCCGTACAAAGACAAGAAAGGTCTGTCTTAGGGTTCCCAAAACTACGAACCTGACTTTACTACATACTCTTGACCCACTGACATAAATTCCATCCCACTCCCTCCGTAAAGCGGACACTTGGCTCTGTCTCTTTGGTGCCTGATGTAAGAAGCGTTACAGTATAGTATGAATTGAATTTTCCACAGGTACGGGTAAAGGAACCATGCCCATAAAGGTAAGGACGGAGACAAGAAAGGTCTATCTTAGGACCGGTTCAGACGCCGTACTTTTCATGAGCCGAACCTAGTACATTGAATTAAGTACATGAAAAGTTCGGCGTCTGAATCAATTAGGAACGCCTGTTTCAATTTGGAACGGCTCAGCCGTTCTTTTCGCCTAGCCCGGCCGGGAATTTCGCCTTTGAATCGACTTTGGAACGCCTTTGATTCAGACGCCGAACTTTTCATGTACCGAACCAAATGCAGAAATTCTTATAACGTATTTTGTAAGCAGTTTGACCGAAATGCGCATTTTTGGCCTTCTGAATTTAGTTCGGCTGGAATTAAGATCAGCGTCTGAATCACTTTAGCCGGTCTAAATAATTTGGGTCGGTCTTAATTCGAATTAGGTTCGGCTCATGAAAAGTTCGGCGTCTGAACCGGGCCTTAAGGTTCCCTGATTATTACGAACGTGACTTAATTTCATACTCTTGACCCTCTGACACCAAAAACGATCCAGATTGCACAATTACCAATATTGACGTCAATTTCTTACGAAAGACAATGATCGAGCACATTCTCGACCTTTCCGTTAGGCGTGGAATGTGGTAAATGTTATCATTTTAACAAACCAGTCAGGCATGGAAGATTTAATTCGGACACTGGACTGTGTATTTAACTATAAAGCAAAATATGACATGTATGAACGAATTCGAAATAAGTTTGGTCCCTACCACTTTCTACGGACCTTTATAGTGCCTTCAGCGTTTTCGTAAAAAAAGTACCCGGAAAAAGTCTCATCAAAAGAAAAGAAAAGATATGAGAAGAGCAGATGAAAAAAATACGCAATATAAGAAAATGCACGATATCCGAAACCACAAATCTTCAAAAAGGAGAGCACGTTAAATTTTGAGTCTATATTTATAAGGTTTTGCTCTGTCTTGTCTTTATTTTGCTACGTTTGAAGCACTAATAGTTGTAATGTCAAATCTAATTAGCATCAATTATAAGTTATATAAGAAACACTGTGAATTAATAAATATATCGTGACAGAAATTTAAATAGAACTTGAAAAAGTACTAGTAACAAAGTTATAAAGCACCTCTCCTCGCTTAGCGAAAGAATAAATAAAAGTCTTTTTTTTCCCTAACTAAAAGAGACCCAGTTGAGAAAAACGTGTATCATTCAATAAGCCGTGACAGGATACCAATTCTTACTGCACTCGCGTGCCACGGGTCATGTAAGTTATTAAAAACTCGAGAGCTGACTCGTGCGGATATTATACGAGGATCATGCAACAAGGTACATGTGCTTTTAAAAAAGTCCCTTTAACTTTATCTTTGTGTAATTTACATGTTGAGAATTATAACTTAAGACGCCTTTCTTGGCGGAGTATTTATTTCAGGTTTGTCTATGACAGTGCATATGAATAACATGTGACCAATAGTATGATGAAATTTTGTGGCATGTTGGTTAACCTACCTATACTTATACAATGATATAATCTTTTTCTTGCCTGGTATGAGCTAAATTTGATGTCGGAGACCCAAAAAAAAAAGAAACAAATAGAAACAGCCTTCGAACGTGGACTTGATTAGGTAAGTTCAGTTTAAGGCTTTGGTCCAGGTTAAAACTCTCTAAAAGTTTAGTTAAACTTCTGAATGGCTTTCCACAAGTTCCTGTTTTGCTTAAATTGTTTTCTCCGTTAAGCCCATTGACAGAGTCAAGCTTGCAATTTTGAGTTGTACATGTAACTGCGCTTTGTTATAATGTATGTGTTTAGATACATTTTGAGCTTAGAAGTAACACAGGAATGTTTCTTTTGTTGTTATGAAAACAAACTTAGGGAATGAAATGAAAAAGAGCTATACTCCCAACTACTTAGAATAACTACAACAATTGCTCAAATTACTTGAATTATAGCAACAAAAACTCGGTACTAATTGTAATGATTGTATATTTGGTTGCCTGTGTAACCCGTGCTAGTAATTCATTGTGGGCGAGAGTGAGAATATAATATGGCGGACTGAAACCTGTGTTGTTTCCTGAGTGTGTAATCCACCACCATCGAGGACTGGTCTCAGTGGCGTTCAGACATTACACTAACTTTATAAACTACACAAACAACTGCAATTACTATCCTTATTACATCATTTTAACCAGTAATATCATCTCCTTCAAAGACGTTTTTGGAAGAGGTGCGAATATTTAACAGAACAAACACGAAGGTCTCCGCCACTAACTCTAACAGATCCTCTCTTTCTGAAAGTAGAATTATACGCCAGGCGTCAAGATCTTATACTTAAATTTTGGAATCCGACATCATATGAGGCCAATTTTAATTTGCATGCGTAAGAAATTGTTGTTTTTAAAAATTTGATGAAAACCACAGTGACGTTACAGTGATGCATGATACTATGTTTACTATTGTGGGAAGTCTTGTATGGTGGCCGATAACTGCCATTCGTCAAAAGCACATAAATTTGTTAATTTTAGATCGAACTTTAATTATTTTGTATTGGAAATAAAGTGAAAGTACAATGTAAAAACATTTTGTTTTTTATTGAACTGGAAATAGATTCTTCTCTATTATTATTTTCAAAACAAAAGAAAATATTTTTACTATGAAATGAAAATAAAAATAAAAGTGAATAAAAGCAAAAGTAAAAATAATTTGTTCACGGCCGGGAACTGCCATTCAAAACAAAAAAAGGCAAAATTAATTTGTTCACGGCCGGGAACTGCCATTCAAAACAAAAAAAAGCAAAATTAATTTGTTCACGGCCGGGAACTGCCATTCAAATAAAAAAAAACTAAAATAAATATGTTCATGTCCGGGAACTGCCATTCAAAAAGAAAGAAATGAGACTTTTGGCGGGAGTGCGTCGCTCGCGTTTGTTTACAATAGGGAGCTTACGAATCGACGACTTTCGCACGACGCCGCCGCTCGGTCACGTCTTAGTTATGCGTTGCCGTCGTGTAGAAATTTGAATTTACGATTCGTAGTAAAGACGACGACGTTGGTGCGCGAGGCTGGCAAATTTTCCCGCCGTTTCTGAAGTTTGTTTTCTTCTTTTCACAAGTAAGCTTGTTTGTTCAACCAAAATGTCTAAACTCGTAAGAGAAACGAGAGCTCGTATTGCAGACGCTCATGGAAACAGATTTATAGAGGACCGAGTATTTCACTGTATTTGTACTTTTATGCGTTTCGTCAACAAACTCAGAGTTAACTATGGATTTAGAAGAGACAACAAAGGACGAATGCAAGGCTCGTTTATATATACAGGGATGGCATTTATAAACTTGCTGAACAGCTGTAGTTACTGTGATGAGATGACCACTTGCAATGGTCTAGTCGTAGCTTTGGTACCATCTTGCCAATATGGTTTCACTCGGTGTTAATTTATGTTTGTCTACAGCTAGCTTCGGGGCGTTACTTCAATGAAAACAGACAAACAAATCGAAAACATATGTAAAGAACATGTACCTAATGTTATACTTGAATTATAAGGAAAAATCCGCTGAAGTATGTAGGGAAAACTTTGAAAATTAGTCTCACGTCCTGCTTTTTCTAGGACGCCGGCGAATCGCTGTCAACAACGGCGTCGATTTTGGCGCGACGCCGGCAAGTGCCCAGATAAGCATGCGCAGTAAGCCTCTCACGCAGTCCAACGGCGTCGTCGTGCGAAAGTCGTCAATTCGTAAGCTCCCTAATCTCGTACCCAGACTCCCGGATTCTTTGATAATTTGGCGCCCTTTCGCAGAAATCATTAGACTCAATATGGGGGATCGAGCTTTGGCAAAGTTTCAAGCCCAAATGAAGCAGAAACGAGTGCAGAAAAAGACAAAAGCCGATACAGGATTGGGTGCTGGAGTAATACTTCAACGTGGAGAACTTACAGTACAGCGACTCAGTTCCGAAGTCTCTGGTAAGGCGCAAAAGTTTAGCAGGATTGGAGCCAGGGAATTTGTGCCATTTGCTGACTACGAGGACATAACATTACCAAACATCAAACTTGCTTGTGAGAAGCACTTCTTACCAACAGTTGGCAAAAGCGTCACGTGTGACGTTCTGGCGGGAGAGCAAGGGCCATCCTGTTCAACGCTTGAACAAATTCCTGACCTAAAACTGATCCACATTCGGTTCATTCAGCGACACGAACAAGACCACGAAAGCAACATATTTATCAATCCTGATGGACCGCCCAAGAGAAAAAGGAGACCAGCTTCGAGTGTTTCCATTGCTTCCACCTCTGTCGAAAGCGACAGCACATGGTCACCCAAGCAGATCAAGGTTTTTCCGAAGAGCCTTTCAGTATCGGAGATGCTAACGCTTGGAAAGGTTGTTGCGAAAAAAGCCACCACTTTGATCGAGGTGAGGTCCTTTGAATTGGACCCACTCGGATGGTCCTTAACTGCAGCTACTATAGAGTTTAATATAGAGAAGGATGCTTTTGCAAAGGGCGGATTCAGAGAAGCATATAGGTAGGTGCGACTGATTTAAAAAAAAACATTGTGGCGATGATGGTATTTGTTTGTTTATGTACCGAGCCATCACCCGCCTCGGGCAAGCTCTATGTCTACGATGAATTTAGGGTATTTGAGCTTTTAATTAGATTCTTACTTTCTTAAGGGGTAAATGTGGTTTTTGCGCTGATCACAATGGGTGTGACCCCTTACATAGTTATGGAAACAATACCCTACCCCCTACATATTGCACAGTCAAGTGGTAATCACTTTTTTTAATATGATGATAAAAAATATTGTCAAAAATTGTAAGAGATTTTGTACATTCACATTTCATGAAAATACAGTTCCTTTTTATTTTGTATCTTCCAGCTTTTCCAAATAATGCTTGGGTGGTAAATTTTCATCGTGTCTACCTGCCTCTCCCACCCAGGGCTCTTTTCATTGGAAAGCTTCCAAAAATATTTGTGGGGCTTTGAAAATGTGAAATTCAAAGGTGAATTAGACCAGATAAAAGAGTTTGGGTCAAATTTTCTTACAGGGCAACAAGTCATAATGAAGCATTTGCTGGCAAAACATGGGTTGTGAAAAGATACTTACCAGAAGCACTAAAAGCAATACAATACACAGGTCAGACAGCTGAAGTACATACAAAGAAGGTTGTTCAAATGCATACGCTTGCAAAGAATTTTGCCGATCAGTTGGCTCAGAAAATAAAGAAAGATGATCTTTTACAGTTTGGCCAAGCACTGCAGTATGGAAAGGTTTACTTTGGGAAAGATCTGGATAAGGGCGACTATGTCACTGTTGAGGAGTACATTGAGGGGAACTTTGTAAAATACATAAACAACACTGGCAAGGTGTGTGACAAAAGTACATTGTCAGAAAAAGCTCAGTGCCTTGCTCACTTTAGTTATGAGAAATCAAACCATAAGTTAATGGTCCTTGATATCCAGGGCACAGGCCACAAGCTGTATGATCCTGAAATAGCCTCCTCAGAATTGGTTGAAAATGATGAATTCCTGTTTTCGACAGGTAACCTTTCTCAAACAGCTATAAATTGTTTTGTTAGCTGTCATCATTGCAATATTTACTGTAAAAGCTTACAGTTGCAAGAACTAATTAAGCAGTAGGCAATGTCATAGATTCATTTTGCTGGTTTGACAGTTAATGTTTGAAGTTTCGATAAAACTGACTGTGGTTTAAACTTAAAGTTAAGGTTTCTGTCTGGCACAGACTACAGGGTATAATCATGAAATAGTGTACATGTATTTGGAATTGGTTGAAAATGATAAATTCCTGTTTTCCATAGGTAGCTTTTCTCAGACAGCTATTGGGATTGTTGTTTGTTAGCTGTTACAAGTGTAACATTTACTGTACTTTAAGGTTTGCAAGAATTTAAAGTAATAGACAGTGATTCAGTTTACTGGTTTTAAAGTTACTGTTTGAAATTTTGATGAAACAGACTAATGAATGGTATCAGCATTTTGTAGTATTTGTACTCAGTTTTACCTCACAGTTTCTTGCAGAAAAAGTTAACGGTAAATAGTCTTAACAATTTAAAGACTACATTGTTGTACCCAATGTTTGTTACAGTTAATAATGGCAAGGGAGGTATGAATGAGGTCATTTATAAGTTTCAATTTTAACCAGAAAAGTTTTAGCAGCATAGCCGATAATCCACCCCCAGCCTCCTGTCTTCAAAAAGGTCTTTTTCATTAACTTTTACTTCTAACAATTCCTAATTCTCCCTCTAACAAAAAGTCACAATACAGTTTGTAACCCCCCCACCCAGAAAAAAAAAAGAATTCCTTGCCATGCAGGAGTAGGGGCAATAAAGGTCTTTGTGGCTTTCCTTTACTCCCCCTCCCATTGGTAATAACATAAGTAGTATTTTCGTTTAATACATGGTGTATGGTGTCATGAAAAAAAAAATTAATACAGCCCTAAGACAGGGTGTTTAGCTGCTGGTTACTTCTAATTGCATGCAATAAAGAATGTTTGTTGGACTGTCTCTGTCTCGTCAAGTAATTTGACCTACTGCAAACTTAGCCCATTCTCACTTCAAACCCTGTACTGTCCACATGGAACCATTCCCCTTGAACCACTTACAGATGTCCTCAATTTTAAAACCAACTTGAATTCTGCCTTCTGTGCATACCAGAACTTAAAGCACAACCATTTGGCATCAGACACCAAACCCACTAGCATAGTGCTTAACTTGTAAATGACAATCTAGACAAATTTGCCTATTTTGGCCAGATAGTAAACTGAAAACAGTTTAAAAATAGCTTTTCAAGTTTGGGTATGTACAGAAGGCAAAATATTGTTATGTTTCTCCTATTTGTTGCTTCTCTTGCCTTTCTGTCTATTTTTGGGGGGCTGTGCTTTTACTAGGCTTCACTCCTGTTGGAAACGGTTTTACAGAAAGTAACCTGACAATATTTATCAAGAAGTATGGGAGGGTAGTGGGACAAGATAATCCATTCCAATTTTTGTTTCATACCATGTATGTAACTATGTATGGGCTATTCGACCATATTGCACACAATGAGGCATTATGTCTTTCTCTCAAACACAATTTTGTAAGCATACATTGGTGCAAGGAACATGGTTTACTTTTTTGAAGAAAATTTATTGCATACAAAACATATGCAGCGCCTTATTTTGTAACTTTTCCTGTATACTCAGAATAGCACAGTTAATACAACGGACGGAGATCAGACCATGCAACAAGTACTTACAATAATATGTTAAAAACAATGGAAAAGTAAAAAAAAAAAAAAAACAAAAGGTGACCATGGTCATTAACATGACTCGATGGTTTAGGACATTTTTCAACTACAGAGCTTTATCAGGGAAAATTTGATAGCTGTTAGTAATTTTGGATATGTGGTTAACAAATTTGTGAGCTTTTGATGAATGGCAGTTATCGGCCACCATACCAGTGTAGTAAGCAATAGGTTTGGTTTCTCAGTTGATTTATATATTAAACTAAAATAATAAATATTATCTTTCTGAGCTAATACTCATGAACAATTCAAGATGTGGTCACTGAAGGGAAACGTGAACCTTCACTCTTCACAGTTCCATGAATTTTTCCTTAAGATGTAGAAATGCATCTTTGCATTCATTTGGTTGAACTTGGTTAGGATATGGAATAATTTCCTCACACTTTGATCTAAATGTAGCATCTAAAAAGTCATCTTCAACTGACAGAACACCAGAATGAAGTGCAGCCTCTTTCAATTCATCTTCTGTTACAGGCCAACCTGTAAAAAAATGGCATTTTTAACAACACTCGGTTACAACGAGGAAACAGCAAACAACAAAATGTAAACAGAAAACAACCAAAGGCTAAATGACAGAAAAGATGGCACATTAAATCTTTTTCTTAACTAAAATATTGGCCAATAAAGATTCAATCTTCAATTTTCTTTGCCTACCACATCCAATGGTCGGTAACAGTAGTAGTTTTAAGGGCATATGGTCCTTACATTTATCAACTGGTTTGTGTTTGTACTTTCTACTGTAAACGGCCACTTATAAGCCATCCCCCCACATCCCCCTTCCTCACTTATAAGCCCTCTAGGCTACCAGTAAACAAAAATACATCTGATTGTAAGCCCCTTCCCTTCCCTGGATATAAGCCTGACCAAATCCCCGAAGTTGTGAAAGACCAGGGCTTTTTAGCTGTTGTTTACAGTGTTACAAGGATGTCTATTTTAAAGTGAAAATATGCACAGTCATACCACACTCTTCTAGGCCTTATGTTTCAGGAAAGTTATAAATGTGATCAGGGATTCCATCTGGCAAAGCTGTATCTTTCTGTGTTCTTATTTTGTGACTGTTCCATACAACTGTCCTAAACAGATCTAGTTCTTTCTGCACTACTGGTATGAGAAGAAAAGCCAAGAGCATCCTGACAGGAGAAATTAACACAGATTTATTTCATCAAAGGTTTTACACTGTATAGATACGTTTATTTTGACAAATATTTATTGTCAATAATTATCCTTGACACATTTGGAATTTGCCTAAAAAGTTTGTGACTTTAATTTTAGACCATGAGTAGATTTCCCTTGGGGAGGGGGACTCCCATGAGTGCTAGACTCAAGCTTTACTTGATCCCTTAAATACATTAAAAATAAAGCACAGTACCAAATAAGAGCTATATATTAATAGTAATCACTTTTAATAATGTGTGATAAAGGCATTGTCATAAAATCGGCTTTTTCTTTCCTTTTTTAGTCCCCTGGTTTCTTTATTACACACCATAAAGTAACATCCGACCAGGTGAAATAGGCATTCCATCATGAATACTCTAGACAGCTTTAAGTGTCACCAAAACATGCAATCTGCAACCCCAAACAACATAACAATGCATCCCTGCCCCTTCATAATGGGATTTTCCCCCACACCTCCACATAGCCTGCGAGCAAGCTCTCTGGGAAAAGGAAGGAGAGCTTAAAACTACATCGCTGGAATTTGAATATCTGCATTGAAAAAGTTGATGCGAAATGCTGATTGGTGGAAATGACATTATGAAAGACGTCATTACCCTTGGCACGTGTTTCTTAGTATTTGTTTACATTTGCACTCATTTCCACATAGTGCTGATTGGCGGAAATACGACAGCTAAGTCGACAGGGAGCCACAGACGAATTGGAGGTGGAATTCAAATTCCAGAGACGTAGTTGCAAGCTCTTCTTCCTTTTCCAGCCCCGCTGCTAGAGGGCCGGTTGAGCTTGCTCTCAGGCTACCTTCCCAGGATCAAGTCAACCTTTTCCTTGCTTTTAAAAAATAGACAAATAAAACAAGCAGAAATTGTGTTCACTCTAACCCCATGTCTTTATCAGGTCTATTCTATAATTATTATATGTACCTGTCTCTCTCACTATGTGGATTATAATGACCTCGGTCCTTTAACCAGTTGAGTTGCTCCTTGAAATATTTTTCCATTCTCTCGTGGAGTTCCCTCCACCATCTCTCGATCTTTAAAAAAATTATCAAAAATGGTCCATTATGCACTATAATGCAAAGAAAAACATAGAAAAAGCAACCTAATATGACAACTCCAGTTGCATTCACACTTCTTTTTAACCGATACATAAAATAAGTACACAAACAAATAAGTGCTTACTTGATTTGATGTCGATGGCCCGTAAATGATCGATTCACATGGGTCATCCATATCATCATGGTTTCTTCGCAAGAAGGCATGTATCGTTGCCATTGTGCCGGTCTCTGTTCCTCTGTCCAGCCTTATCATTGAAGGCATAATTCTAGCCTCATATAAATACTCCAAATACCAACGGCCAATTACCTTGGGGTCGCTGTTAGTGACCCAGATCCGCAGCCATAACAGCTTTCTACTAGCAGGTATCGATGCAGCCATATACTGCTAATGGGAAAGTGCTGTTTTAGTAGCCCATTAGTTTATCATGTCCATCTAGAGAATGGACCCAGTTAGGGCCTTTTGTTGTAAAACTTCCCTTGGGGATTGTTTTCTTTTTGCTAACTGGTCCACGGGCTTCCAGACCCTTCGGGGCGAGGTCATACATTGCCGCATGAACTAAATCTCGTGGAACATTGAGATCATGAACTTGTCGAACTTTTCGGTGCATTGCTCTGTATTCTAACTGTTTTCCTGGTTCGTCAAGCTCCTTTTTTACAACATCTTTAACTTCCTCCACCGACACATTTTTGTCATTGTACTGTATATCAAAGTGACGAAGGCGTCTGTCGACAGTGCGAAGGCTCCATGCATATTGGACAAAATCCCTTTTCAAAAAATCTAACATTTCTCTCCGTTGAAAACCCTGTTTTACATATTTAGCCGTTTCTTCTTTGAGAACGATGTCTTCTTTCCAACCATCATTTCGAAAATATGCCGCCATAATGCCCGTCACTGCGTTCCAGTCCCTCCCCAAATTTGAATGGCAGTTCCCGGCCGTGAACAAATTAATTTTACTTTTTCTGTTTTGAATGGCAGTTCCCGGCCGTGAACAAATTAATTTTGCCTTTTTTTGTTTTGAATGGCAGTTCCAGGCCGTGAACAAATTATTTTTACTTTTGCTTTTATTCACTTTTATTTTTATTTTCATTTCATAGTAAAAATATTTTCTTTTGTTTTGAAAATAATAATAGAGAAGAATCTATTTCCAGTTCAATAAAAAACAAAATGTTTTTACATTGTACTTTCACTTTATTTCCAATACAAAATAATTAAAGTTCGATCTAAAATTAACAAATTTATGTGCTTTTGACGAATGGCAGTTATCGGCCACCATAGTCTTGTGTTGTGTTTAGTCTTTTACGTTCTTACTATTCCCTTTAACACTCTACGTGAAACCTTAAGTGCCGATCAATTCGAAAATTCAACATTTCCGAGGGCATAACCCGGGCGGGAGCATTCGACTGTTTTCACTTCTCGAGGAGGGGGGAATTCATAGCCTTTCCCAGGCCCGGGAGGCTGCGAAGGAGGCTACAAAGTGATCGGGTCCACTCGAGAAGATCTGTCTACTTTTCAAAGTGATATAGATAAAATTTCAGATTGGTGTAAGATGAATACGATGAGAATTAATACCAAGAAATATAAGATCATGCGAACAACCAGGAAAAAGTCACCCTTATTAGTTGGGGAGTATAATATTGAAGGTCAACCTTTGAAAAGTGTTAATGTGTATATAAAGATTTAGGATTATTTACTGCTAGTAATCTTTCATGGAACCAAAACGTAGATAAAATAACTGCTAAGGCTAATAGGGTTTTATGGTTGGTTAAGAGGACTTGTAGGGACTTAAAGGATATTGATACCATGAACACACTTTATTGTAGTCTTGTGAGACCTTTATTAGAATATTCATGCGAAACTTGGAACCCTCATACTAAACGTAACATTGATACATTGGAGGCTATTCAGCGAAGAGCTACCAGATGGATCACTAGGTCTGATGATGATTATGATACTAGACTATCTAAGCTAAAATTGTTATCATTATCTAATATGTTACATCTTTTTAATGTAATTAATGGACATTATGATATTGACATTTCAAATAAGCTCATATTTTGTAAGGACAGAAATACTGGTTATAACTTGAGGAAAAATGACACACAGGACCTTGTTCCAAATTTTAGTAGAACTGATGGTTTTAAATATAGTTTTTTTAACCATATTGTAAATGAATGGAACGGTTTACCCAATCATATTAGAGAGTCAAACAGTATTGCAACTTTAAAAAATAATGTTTTAAGCTTTATTAAGAATAACTAGAACATTTATATTTCTATTTTTATATATTTTTCTTATATTTTAATTGGTGGGAGCATCCCTAGTATGGCGCATTGGCGCTTTTGGTTGTCTCCTTCTCCACAACTTTTTTTTCTCTTATAGTAGTGTTAGCTTATTTCATTTCATTATTTGCTTGTAATGCAGAGGAGTGAATCTGTAATAAATAAAAAAGTGAGAACACGAAAATAAAACAGGGGGAAGGCCAGAATCAAGAATCTGGGAATGAAAGGAGGTAAATATGCAAAGACCCTCGCCAAGATTCAGGTCGGACGTGTATATTTCGTATATGAGATATCCGGAGAAATGTTTTACCCAAATTTTTGGAGATTTGTATGGAAACACCATGCAGGTGCCCATCCAAATGGGTACGAACGTGGCGGACGGAAACCAACAGAAACATCTGTTAACGAGTTTTGTTACAAAAGCGTGTTTCTCCTCTAGGAACTCATAAATATTAAATCAATACTGTTTAGTCGAGCTTGCTTTAGCAGAGCGAGAGAAAATGCTAGCCTTTTTTTTCCACAGAGGGCATGCTCCCAAGCGTTCCTAGCGGAGATCGTGGAAACTGGAGATAAGAATCTTGAAGACTTTCATTGTATGCAAATGAGTCTTGTGATGAGCATGTGATGGCGATGACTGAAATATCGGGCAATGTTTTAATATGACGTTTTAGTTCTTTGGCAAAAACTTTTTTCTTCCATGTAAGAAATCACTCTTTATTTTTTTTTTTTTTTCGACAAAACAGGTTACGTTTCATGGTAATATGACACAGCAAGGCGATAAAATCGTAAGTGCAAAACATACGCCACTTGCACATCTCCCACAATGTACCATATATATTTGCCCCCCGAAATTTTGCATAAGCATTGTTTCCAATTTCTCTTGGGACGGTTGTAATACCCAGGAGAAATAGAAAAACCAAGGGTTATGCAAAATTTGGGGGGGAAATAAAGTGCAATATGGGAGAGCTGCAAGAGGCGTATAACAAAAAGTAGAAACTGTACCCGCGCTTTCTCTAAAGAGAGCTATTTTAAACTTGATCTTACGGTACCGTAATTAAACACAGAGCGGAACAAGACGGAAGGAATTGTTTTGTAAACATGTGTAGGGAGGGGTCATGGTAGCGCAGAATCTTAAGGGATGAGAATCAGCACGGTGTTCTCATCATCTACACGTGTCGAAAACAACGTACAATTTTCAGAATTCTATGTTTTGAGAAGAAAAATTTGGAAGGATTTAAGCATTATACGGTGATGTTGCTTACAAATCCACACACCATTCGTGGTATACCCAAACGAAAATATGTCGAGCGTTTTTGGAATGGTTCGTTCCACGAATTCTGTCGTTTGAAAGCGTTGATAACTTTGAAACAAGTTAATATGTCAGAAGAATAGTCGACCGTGGAAAACGTAGGATGAGAAAATATTATAGCGGGAAATCTTGGTTGTTTACCATTTACACTATTTATCAAAATTTTCCGGAAAATCCGGTTGGAAAGTAAATGGAACACGACTTTTTGGGTCGTTCCATCGGAAAATTTCCGGGAGCAACGGAAAATCTAATCTGTTTTCCGGACGGGATATTCCAAACGGAATTCGTGTTTACCAGTCCTGACTTTTGCGTAACATTTGCCCATACCGTGGACCGACCGGTTTGCACATGTAAATGGTAAACAACCCTTGTTTTGTGGTGTATTGAGGCGTTACGTTTCTCAGAATACTGTCGCAATTACTGGAACTCGACCGTTAAATAGATTCACTTTGTTGTATGTATTTCAGTAATTTATAGATTTTCGCAGTTGTTAAGATGTCAAGCGGCGTTGCACTTACTACAACTACTATCGGAAGCAACTTCAACTACCCGTCTGACGTTACGTATGTGTCACGGATAAACTTTACTTGACTGTCACGCACTCTACTTGCAGCACTTCATGCATGTTCATAGAATAGAAATCACATGTCAAGCTTTTCCGGAAAGGATCGGTACTTTGGAACAAGTGATTACTTCAGTGGTCGATGATGAGGCTAACTGGCTGGGTGCTGTAAACTTTCCTTGTATGCAAATGAGTCTTGTGATGAGCATACGCTTTATTTTCGGGGATGATTGAAATATCACAAATCGTCGAATGCGATATAAAAAATAAATGTCCTGAAGAATACTCGATCGACAAAGTAGGAATTGAAAAACTTTTAGCGAGGAAATCCTGTTTTCTTTTTTCAGTCACAGTATATTGAGAGCATCATTTTACTTTTTCGCTCGCTGCGCGTGGCTCTGAGGAAAGAAGGACGACCGCTCTCGGTCTAATCGCCTCCTCATTTCTTATGTTATCTCCAAGCAAGTGAGACTCAACGCTACTAAGAGCGTTCTTGTTCTGATACATGAACTGTTTAGCTAGCAAAGTTCCCGAAATAGGTCATTTTCTTAACCTATACTACTTGTCAGTTCTCTCGGCCTTCATGTAAATGCCGCGTAACACAAAACCTTAGAAATTCAAGGATACTCTATTACAAAACCAAGAACCCTTTCGTTTCAAAATATTACATGAAAATTAGCCTGCTCTAGTTTTGTAGTTTGAATTTTAATGATGTCATGTGAATAGCAACAATTCATTCCCTGTGATGAGGTAGGGTAACCCTCTCTCATTGTAAACCGGCCCTTGTGCTAAATTTTTATAATTTAGCTCAGAAATTAAATAGTTCCGTTCAAATTGTCAAGATTACTGGTCAAGCATTACGGAGGAAAGTTGTTCCGGGTAGGCGAGTTATTCCTCGCAAGGCGTTGACAAGACAGGTAGGGTAACCTCTCTTGCTAGGGTAACCCTAGCGCTCGGGTAGGATTTTCCCTAGCGCTAAGAATACCCTACCTTTTTGGAAACACGTCGCGTAAAAAGAGAAAAAATGAGCGAGTGCTACGGTAATGCTGGTGCTGAGGTTACCCTCTTGCTCGGGTATTAGGGTATACATTTCTTCTTTTTTCACATGACGTGTTTCCAAGCAGGTAGGGTTTTCCGGACGCAAGGGTAACCATACCCGAGTGCTAGGGTTACCCTAGCAAGAGGGTTACCCCACCTGCCTTGTAAAGGCTCTGCAAATGGATAACTC